AGATAGCCAATGTTAGATATTCATGAAATATTTAACACGGAAATAATCCTGCCTGAAAGGCATTTCGCACAAAAGTTTCGAACTTCAAGACGCTCTTATCTTATTATTACGTATCCTGTTTGAATATAGAAATTAATATAATTTTTTAAGTATGATTTTTTTTTTAATTATAATCTTTTTTATCTCGTGATATTTTATGGAGTTAATCAATTTATGAATGAGGCAACTAAAAGATTAAAGACTGCGCGAATATATTCACTTTGATTATCACTTATAAATAAAGAATTGATTAGTACAAATAAATTCTGATATATTCTAAGGGGTTCTTTACATAAAAGTAGAGGAAGGTAAAAGAAAAATTAGAATATTAACCATCTCTATTAAAGTTTAGAAAATTAATAATATTTAGAAAAAAAATGTCACGATGCATTTTTTACTCTACATCGAAATCGACATTCATTTTTCTTCCTACAAATGCAATTGTGATTGTAATTTCATCGATTTGGCAGAAACTCAACTTTCATGAATCTCGTTTAGAAAGCGATTATACATACATCGTTGCCCGCAGAGATGCTCCCATTAAAATTGCCTTCTTATTAAAATTCCACGAAAGTACTTCTAATTAGCCCATGATTTGCATCTTCCACGATGGTCAAACTTTGCACGTTGGCTGCAAGACTATCTAAAAGATCTGGAACAAGTGGTTTTTAAAAGTGTTAAGTAACACATATTCTTCCTTCGCTCGAGAGAATCTGAATCGATTACATTCTAGCTGAAGTTAATTGTCGATTTTGCAAGTATATCGAAAGTAAACACAATTAATGTTATTTATTTTGCAATTTGCTGTGTATTCCATTGTTTGGAAAGAGATTCTAATTTTTATCTGCAGAATAACTTCTATATTACATAATTATTATATAAAAAGTTGTATTAAAAGATTAATTTATTTAAATTATTTATAATTTAGATAATAATATTTTATTGAAATTATTAGTTTTTATAAAATTAATTTAATAATTGAATGTTATTGTTACGAAAAATGTATAGTGCAGATAAGAATTTTATAATATTGTAAAATAGTTCACACACGCGCGCGCGCGCGCGCGCACACACACACACACACACACACACAGAGTGGAACAATTGTCCGACACGCGCAGAGTTTAAAATCCAACAGAACTTAGATTGCAAGTACCGAGCAGTGGAGCACGTGCTGCAGCAACTACACCTGTTAATGCTCCAGGAGCTTACCTCTGCAGTAATTAGTCGCCTGCAAAACGAGTATTTAGAATCGAGTGTACCGTTCCTCGCATTAACACTTATCGCATTTACCTATCTTATCGCCGCTGCATTTAGCGGCACGTTAACAAAAAAATTGCACAATTTATTTGATCCCAAGCGCGTACATTTCAGGAATGTTTCGCGTTCTGGTTTGAACATGCCATCCTTTATTTCGCTCGGCGGAAAACGAGCTTACGACGAGCTTGAAATAAATAACGGCGGTTATGCCTCTAAAAAAAAAGGCGCACAAAACGTGGAGTTTATTCTTAGATGTTTAATGGATCTTCTTACATGTGTGTTTTACTAATTTTGCATTTCTACGGAGTAGAATTGTAGTACGGTGCTACTTCAGATGTCGAGCGAGGCTATGATAAGGAGATAAGATCCGAAAACTGAATCCTCGCATACGCGAGGTGTTCGAAATGCTGACGATACGTTGAAAAAAATTGTACTAAATTTTAATAAATATTTGTTTAAATACTAACTAAATATTTAATAATAAAGAAATATAAACATATATTTATTTTGTATCGGAACTATTAATTCAAGTATTATTTTTTTATTGAGTAAATATCTATTTATTGTAAATGTTTAATTAGTATTATTTAAACAAATATTTATTAAAATTTAATAAATTTTCTTTTCAGTGTATTAAATAAAATGAACCTCGTTTTCCTTAAAAAATCTCTTCATGAAGGTGAATTATTGTCTGATATGAAAAATTCGTTTATGTCCAAGAGACCCTTAAAGTCCAACTCCGTTATACTGACGAGATAACGTGAGAAATACAAAAGAGCACATACAACAGGCTATACTTTAGATAATTCAGAGTGAAGTTTTTCTCGACAAAAATGTTAAAAGAAACGACGTAGATATATTACGTCACTTCGATGTAAAAACTGTAATTTGAGAAAATTCTAAACCAGAATAAACATATGTTTTTACTGTGACTCTAATCGTTAACATTACATATACTTAAGTTTTCAGATAATTAAGGTTTGCATTAAGCTTCCGTTAAAGTAAAGTCTAATAATATCTGTATTAAACTTTAACTTTAAAGATTGAGATTGAGATGACTAATCAGAGCAAAATTCACTAAACTTGATATTGATTTTTTTTTCATATTTCTGAGATAAAATTTATTTAAACACATATAGATGTATTTTTCATCTGACTTTGATCGATAGGCGTTTCTCGTACTCAATTGATTGATTTTTCTCTTGATTAAATTCAATCTCAATCTCTAGTCTAAGTAAGCTTAACTGAAATTAATTATATTGCAATTTCATCATCAATTTGTATCCACAAAATGCTGTCTCCCAGACACAAAATATTTATAAATATTTATAAGACTTATTTTAAATATTTTGTTTAAATATTTTAGATTGCACAGATCATAAACATTTATTATAAATATTATGAAATATTTATTGTAAATCTTATAACAAATGCTATGGAAATACTTAATATTAAATAAGACAAATATTCAATTCAATAATAAAAAATGCTTACCAGAAATATTTATTTATATTTATCATAAATATTATATTAGATATTAAGTCTGTCTTTTAATAATATTTTGAATAAAGCTTTATATAAAATATGTATAAAATATTTATATAACATTTAAAAAAATGAATAGTAATAAATATTTATCATGAATATTCTGTGATGTCTGGGCAGTAAACTTCATTTTAGTCAGTTGTCTAAAAATCATTTTTTGTATAGGTAAAATTGAAACAGTTACGAAATATATCGATATATGTGGAAGCGATAGCATATCATGTATAAATACCTCTTATCGATGGTGCTTATCGGACTGAATCGATATTTATGGCGACCCAGGTGCGACGCGATCACACGATCGTTCCTTAGAATCCGCCTATAATACAGCATAACTGATTGCATGGTGTGTATGCGATTGGAACGCGAATCCGTGCATCACGCGGTGTATTAGGTCGGAATAAATTGCCGGTTGAATGATACAATGATGTTCGGGAAACTGAACTCTACCACTCGTCACTCGCGATCTCCGTCGATCCGTAAATTGTTTTGTTTATACATCCGTAGGAATTTGTTCTAGAGTATGCTTTCACATTAAATCATAAATTCACACTTTAGATTAGCATAAATCACCTCTGTAAAGTTGGCATATCTCAGTATTGAAATTTTGTTCATATAAAATCGCTCAATTTTTCAATTCAATTTTATAATATCTTTTAAAAGAAAATTAATTCTTGTTTTCAGATAAATGAGTTTTGTTCTTTTATTTGTGTAATAAGTATCATATATTTTAAGATTATTATTAAGAAGATATTCTTCCTTAAAGATATCTAGACAGAATGATATTTTTCTGTGTATAGTTTTGCATCTTCAAAATCAAGAACTGTACTTTCTTCAAGGCTTCTCTCTATCAGTAGAAAAAAAAAAGGCATCTATTTTAAATACAACACAATATTAATATCTTCGGAGATTTTTACTTTCAGAAGTTAGAGACCCTTTGGAGAAAAATGTAGATTATTGCTTCTTGAAAATCGAAGAGCGTACCTTTCTCGTTCACGACGAAAACCGTGGTTCTACGGAGGAGAGGTTGCGACACACCGGTGTATATACCCGTGTGTCAAGATCACCAGAGCGTGGAACGTCCGGTGGATACGGGCGGGTGCACGTGTCGGCTTTACGTGCGTTGCATGTGACTCGGCACCTCGGCATCCGAGTGCGGCCGTTCGCTCGCATTCTTTCCTCTCGTTCGTCAGCCTCAGTCGGCCTCAGTCGGCCTTTCTGGAGCGCTATAAATTATTATATATTTCTCTTATGCACTCCCGATGACTCAGGCTGTCGGTCAGCCATACGGAATTCACTTGTAATCACATGAGATTATGGTCGAAATTGCCACATATCTCAAAAATCAAAATTCTAAAATTAATCTTCTTACGCTGCAATTAAATATGTTAATTCATTACTTTCTAATGTTAGGTTCTTTCCGGAGAACAAAAGTGTCTAAAATCAGGTCATAAGACGGTTTTTGTATATAAAAGACGACTTAAAGACATCTTATGTAATAATTTTAGACTTTGTGTTGTTTGGGTTCTTATTCGTTTTCTTTCTTCCGCTTCATCGTTTTTTTTATCAAGTCTTATTTTTTATAGAATCAACTAGTGTTATATTGATATTTCTTAGGTTCTGTTATTCATATTAGACTAGAGATTGAGATTGAGATTGAATTTGAGATTGAATTTGACCAATCGAAGCATAGTTCATTAAACTTGATATTGATTTTCCTTTGTCTGGATAGATTAAATTCAATCTCAATCTCTACTGATATATAAGACTATCTATAAAATCATATTATTCTATGATTTATTTCTTTATTCTATTTACCGTATTTTTATGTTATAATCTTATTCTTCTTGCGCCCTGATTGTCTTGTTTTGGCTATAAGTAGACATCATGACGATAGCTTTGCATCTTATCTTTGGTATATCATGTTTTATTTATGCTCTTTATAATTATTCGAACTATTTATAGATCATTATTTTTTATATATACGCAATAAAATTATTATTATTTATTCATGAAATTTGCTGCGATTCCGTAACCTATGCGAAATGTAAGCAATTTAAAACTAATCTATAATCTGCGCGATGTTGTAAGGCTTCTGTTAAACTATTAAACCACGAGATCGATCTGAAGAAGAAAAAACATTTTTCTGTTTGCAGAACCACTTCAGGAGCCGCGTTTTATCAATCAACCGTCCAGTAGTAGCAATATACTTAGCGAAAATCGCACGAAATTTCTGCAATGCCAAGCGAGAGGTAAGAATCATGACCGTAACACTAATCTGAAAATTTGTTAACATAGGAAGAGAAAGAGAGAGAGAGAGAGAGAGAGAGAGAGAGCGTTCTTAAAGGAATTCTTGGCGTTAATGAATTTTAATAACGATTTCTATCTGGAAAGTATCGCGCATTTCTATTTACACTTATTAAAAATTTTAAATTTATTCTCAGCAAAAAAAAATTTCTTTTTAATTAGATTGTTTCAATTCAATGCTAGGATAACTTTAAGTATCGAGATCTTTGGAGATTTTAAGTATTGTTTCTTTCATAAAAATGTGCTTTTAAAAATAAAAATCTATTGTTATTTCAATTTTATCATTGTTAATGATTTGAATTATTCTCTCGTTAATTCTGGCAATGAACTGCCAGAAATTCTTGGATTTTTAATGCTTAAGTATGCAATCAATATTGCATTGAAAAAATTAAATATAAATAGGCGAAAGAAGCAAGTAAGGATCACAACAGCATCGGAGATAAGGTTTGCCGCATGGCGTTTCATTGTCCTGCAGAAATATCGAATAACAGGCGGATGAGACGATGGTTAGATGAAGCCGTACCAATGCCCAACACCGTGTAATTCAATCGTATGACCCTATACTAATAGTATTAGATAACTCGCGAGCTGCAGCATCGTCCGTGACTTTGCATTGAATTATTGGCGAGTTTTTTCACATTAAATTATTCTTCTATTAAAGATTATTTAAAGTAATTATTTTTACGCAGTCCAAAAAAGAATTGTAGGTCGCAGGAAATGTAGTTATTAATGAGAGAGACGATCTGTACATTTTCTTGATAATCTTCATATAATTTTTAAATTTCTTTCCTCTTTATTTTTTAATTAATTTTTAAAGTAAGATCAAGTTAAACACTTGAGAAAAATTACTTAGGCGTAAACAAATAACTTTCGTATCGTCTTTAGGCAATCCTCAACCAAAGTACAAATGGTTCAAAGACGGGATGCCCCTCAACAATGAAGTCACCTCGGGCGAGCCTTATTATCGTATTCTCAGTACGCGGCGCGAGGATGCTGGGGTGTATCATTGCGTCGCAACGAACGACGTGGGGTCCATATTCAGCGATCGTCTCGTCTTCGCCGTAGCTTGTAAGTATCTTGACGAATCAATACATCCACATTATGGATTACGAATCGACGTTCCAATTCGCTTCAGATATGGGTACATTCGATGATCTCACGGAGAAAGTGGTGACCGTCGAGTCGGGTAGCGCCGCAATTTTGAAACTACCCCCGATTGAGAGCCATCCTCCCCCTGCCGTAACGTGGCTCTCCTCGGACGGGACTCTTCTGTACGGTATAAAGTACGCTACGACTGATCACACATTGATCATACTAAACGCTTCGGAAAACGACGAGGGCTCGTACAGGTTTGTATGATTGATGCAATCAGCGCGTAACATTAGCTCATTTATAATAGCTTGTCCTAGTAGTTAATCCTTTGCTTCAGTTGCGGAGCATATGAACTCATTCTTTCAAAATTTCTGACCAACGAAGTTTAAACTTATATCTTTCTTTTTGACGTTTATGATGGTACAGAGCAAAGGCTATTAACACTCAACTGGGTACGGAGGTGAGCAGTCCGTTTTTTAAACTGCAAATCATCGGCGATCCATATGCGGAAGTAGCCCCTACCATAATTGTCAAGCCGCAGGACACGCAGATAATCAAAGATCAAGATGTCACGCACATATATTGCATCGCGAATGCCAGGTATTCGCGAATCTTTGTTTATCATTCTTTTATCATTCATCACTGCGTGATGATTTTTCTTCTCAATGCACAGACACAATGTTTTCGTTCAAGAGATTTGAAATTGAAGTTTTAATATCGAGGCTACATTAATTTCAGATCTCTCCATGAATTAAGGACCTTATGGATGAAGGATGGCATTCCGATTGAGAATTCTAGGATATCGTATAGCTTTAATGATTCGTGGAACAGAACGCTCGCATTGATCTCAGCCAACATAACTTATACAGGAATTTATTCTTGCCACGTGGATTTGCGGAGTGGTGGTTATCCGACCATAAATGCGAGCGCTAAAATCGTTGTATATGGTAAGCATTATCGATGAACAATCCAGTAAATAGCAGTAATATAATTATGTTTTGAAAAGTAAGAATACGCGACACTAAAGATTTTAAGTATTTTAACAGATCTAAATCTTTCCTAAAATTCCCATTACGTTTTCCTAGAAAAACCAACATTTATAACGGAATTAAAAAGGGAAACTCTGAGCGATTATGGGTCCACAGTAACGTTACCGTGCGACGCTAACGGTGTGCCACCTCCTACAATCACTTGGTTCCGTAATGCCGAGCCTGTCGATCATTTACTGGGAACCAGGTACGCTCCGGCAAATATTTGTTTTGTAGTCATTGGAATGAGAGAGAGAGAGAGAGAGAGAAAGAGAGAGAGAGAGAGGAAAAGAAAAATCTTTTAATTATAACTATTTAACTATTAGTAGACATTTTTTCCTGTAAATTTAAAATTGTAATTGTTGTACATGAAAGAGACAGTCATAAATAAATTTTCCTACTTTAATAAATATTTTTATTATAAATTAAAAAATATATATAATATTAAAAAATTTGTAGAAGGAATAATTTGTGTGAAGTGAAGTATATTAAATTTGGAACATATTTTATAAAAAATATTTAAATCTGTTTTGCCTAAAAAGGAATCGAAATTCGAAAATTATTTAATCATTTTACTATTATTGTTCTCTCGTGTTTTTACAGATACTTAATGGAGGAAGATGGCTCGTTGACAATTAAAAAATTAAGTATGGATGACTCGGGAATGTTTCAGTGCCTCGCGTCCAACGAAGCCGGCGAATCATCTAGTTATACCTGGTTAAAAGCGAAAAGTGAGTAATTTTTCATTGTTTCCATAATATATCGCGGAATTTAAAAAATAGTGAAAAATTATTACCCAATCCGTACACAGAGTGTTCGCAAAACACGCGACTAAAATACCATACAATCTTTGTGATTTTATAAATTAAGACTTTTATAAGATGGGAAATAATGGAAAATATCATAAATACGCTTGCTAATATATATATATACAGTTTTGAATACAAAAGATTTAAAATTTATATATTGTCTATTTGTTGTTTCTTTTTTATCGGTATAATATAAATTACGACATAAATAATTTCTTATATTAATAGTAACATTGACAAATTATACACAAATATAGATATATGTATATATTTATAGATATTTAAAGGGAATCGCGTTTTTCGCGGACACTTCGCGTAATAATGTCGCAAGCAAAGTTAATATAAATGACGTATTTTTTGTGTGCGGCACAGAAAAAGGATTAGGAAGCAGATTGAGAAACAGAGTTGCCCGCTGGGCGGCTGGCTACAATGTAGTCAGAATCCGCCAGTCTGATCGCCGTTTTATGTTCTCTCAATATCCAAACAGTAAGAATAATGCAGCGAGATTTCCACACTTTTCTTTTCCATTATCATTTTCGGCACATGCTTGAAGACTGCGTATAAATTTCACTTCACGATTTTTGCTTTTAGCAAATTTTTGCATAGCTCTGATAAGGCAAATAGCACCATGTGAATATCAGTGTTTTAGAATATTTATTATTACTCCATGTTTATAGAATTTTAACGCAAAACATTGATGAATTGTGTCTTCTTATGTGATTTAAAGATTATCAATTTTAATTGTATATAGTTTAGTGTTTTTCTATATTATACATAGAATGAATGCCGTACGATTTTTAAAGAAAAAAATTTTTAAACGAAACGATTTGTCGATTTTGACGTAATTATTCTTAGCACGCGTCTGCGACATTGCAAGTAATACTGACACGCACGTCCTATTTCCCTATATATATATTAGGGATATTTTCAATAAGATTTTTATTCTGGATGTCTCACGATAAATGCTATTAGTATTTAGCATTTAGTGATTTATTTTATATGGCATTTATCATGTACTTAGTTATAAGTTTGCGTAGTTTTGCTATTAAATATGTGTTTGTGTTATGCTTAAAACAAATAAGCTTGTATTTGGAATCAACATAAAGAAGAGGTGAGAATTACAGATGGGTTTAATATACATTGCAAGCGACGATTGATCACCCCTTTTTTTATTTGCACGTTGTGAGAAAACATTAGATATAGAGATTCGACGTTAATGACGAAATTTGTGTCTGTAATTTGCAGCATCTGGACCGATAATGGAAAATGGACCACAGAATTTAACAGTATTAGACGGCAAAGATGCAACTCTAAGTTGTAATGCGATTGCGGCGCCTAAGCCAAATGTCACCTGGTATTATAATGGTAATTAAATCAAAGCAATTGTTATATTAATTATATTTTTTATATTTTTATGTTATGTATATGTATATAATATAAATATGTTATAAAATTTTAATTCACTTGCTATAGTTTTATTTATATGTGTATATGATTTTTATAAAAATTAAGATACACAAGATTAATATTATTATCAAACGCGTGTTTACAACAAATGCAATTAAATGTAACAAATGTTTACATTTAATTGCAGATACAATGTCTGTGGAAATTGCTGGAAGAGTACAAGTCTTGGATAACGGGGATCTTTTAATCGCAGCGGTGAAACCATATGACGCAGGAAAATATACTTGTATCCGCGCGAACGAAGCCGGTTCTATCAATGGATCGGCATACTTGACTGTTATGGGTGATTATTGAGACAAAATATTTAGAAACAAAGATCGATCAAATCGGATGGAATCATTTTTCTTAAGACAGAAATCGGTTTTTTGCTCGAACTTTGGTGACAAATGCATTGTGCAGTTTGTCGTATATAATCTGCATCTGTTACAGTTCGGACTCAAATTATCCATCCACCTGTTGATACGTCCGTGCTTCTCGGGCGTACCGCTGAATTGCAGTGTAAAGTTTCGAACGATCCCAGCATCGTATACGATATGGCATGGTTTCACAATGGACAGTATGTATAAAGAGAAATATTATACAAATAATATCAATTTAAAGTTTTGAGATCAGAAATTTAATAAGCTTTTTTTAAATTTATCTATAATGGAAATATTATTTTCCGAAACAGCGAATTAATTAAAACCTGATCTACTTAAGAATTATTTATATTATGCATCTTGAGTTTTTATTAAATTCATCAATTAAATTATTGATTTATAATGTCAGGAAAATCACTGAAATTCTGATGACTCTTCCGATGCTTGAAAATCTTAAAGCGATACGTTCTGTACGTTGTTACAGAGTAATAAATACGCAAGCGAGTCAAAGAGTGAAAATGCGGTCAGACGGCACTCTCGAGATCGTTACCGTTCGAGCTTCCGACGTGGGCGAGTATACATGCTCCGTGGTGTCGCCGGGTGGCAACGAAACGCGATCTGCTCGTCTGAGCGTGATCGAATTGCCGTTCCCACCGATCAACGTCGTGGCCACGCGAGTCGAGAGGATCTCGCCGCGCACGATTAACGTCACGTGGGTGCCCGGCTTCGACGGCAATAGTCCTACAAAAAAATTTATAGTCCAGAGACGAGAGGTGTCCGATTTAGGTAAGTGTAGTCTCCAAATATCAAAATTTAAATGTAAACATTTACATAAATGTAATAATTAAGTTAAATATATTAGTTATATTTATATTTTCTGATATATTTTTTAATGTAATTGTGAACGTTGTTACCATATATGTATGAAAAATACTACAAATTTTTGATTGAATATAAGTAAATCGATATTATATTTTCTATATCTCTATAATATAAAAAATGTAATTCACTGTTATATTGTAAATAGGACCAATACACGACCCAATATTAAACTGGATTACCGAACGTGATAATGTATCCGCGACCAGTCGGTGGATATTGTTGAATAATTTGAAAGCCGCGGCGTCTTATCAATTTCGTGTTAGCGCCGAGAACAGCGTCGGTGAAGGTCCATCGTCAGCAGCTAGCAACATCGTTGTTCTACCTCAAGAACGTAAGTGGAAAGTTAATCAAGTGATTATAATAAAAAATATAACAATATAATATGTTTTTGTTGCATTTTCATTAAAATATAGATAAATTTATAATTTGATTTCTGACGTGTATGTTGACATTCCACTTTATTTAACATTTTATTTTTATTTTTAGCGCCCAGTGGTCCGCCCATTGGCTTCGTCGGCTCAGCACGTTCATCATCGGAAATAATAACGCAATGGCAACCTCCACTAGAAGAATACCGAAACGGCCATATCTTGGGATATATATTGAGATATACGCTTTTTGGATATAATGATAGCCCATGGACGATACAAAATATCACTAATGAAGCGCAAAGAAATTATCTCATTACAGATTTAATCACATGGAAAGATTATGAAGTGCAAATAGCGGCTTACAATGAGAAGGGTGTGGGTATATATTCAAAGGGCTTGCAAATAAAAACCAGGGAAGGAGGTAAATTTACGTTAGGAATTAGAATATTATTTTAATGAATATTAGAAATCAGTTAAAAATAAATAATTTCTTATAGTCCCAGAAGCACCTCCTACAAACGTGAAAGCGGAAGCAATTAATTCAACAGCGGTAAAAGTTTGGTGGAAGCCACCGAATCCTCAAAAGATCAATGGGATTAATCAGGGATACAAATTGCAAGCCTGGATTGGCGACAATTTTACAGATGCGACTGAATATAAATCAATGACTGTGCCACCGAGTTTATTCGATCCGCTCGCCGAGCAAAACACTATTATGACAGGTTTAAAAAAATATACTTTGTATAATATTACGGTGCTCTGCTTCACCGATCCAGGTGATGGTGAAAGGAGCTCGCCTGTCGAAATTCGCACTTGTGAAGACGGTACGTTTATTTACAATAACTAGTTAAGAATTAATTAATTGCGCTATATTTTCTAATTAAAAGATAATTTCTTTGATGTATATTTTCTGGTTCTTCATTTAGTAAAGATAAACTTATCATTAAAAACATTATTTATCTTTATATATGTATTATGATTTTTATAGTACCTGAAGAAGTGGAGAATCTACAATTCGAAGATATCAGTGATCGTGCGTTAACAGTTAAATGGTGTCCCCCCAAAGAGACCAATGGAATATTGACATATTATCAACTGAAATATATGATTAAAGACATTCCAGATTCTTTGCGCGTCGAAAACTTTACAGCTGATGTGTTATCGATTAAAGTAGAACATCTTCAGGTAATCATTGATTTCAAGCAGCATAAAATTATAAAAGAAATATAATGAAAAGTTTAAAAATTAGAAATTATAAAAAAAATAACTTAAAGGATAAGAATTAAATATGACTATTACTCATTTTTGTATTTTTTTAGGCACTGACTCACTACAAGTTTGAAGTGACTGCTTGGACATCGGTTGGATCTGGCAAATCAAAAATAGCGACCATACAATCAGGCGTCGAACCGGTACTACCAGAACCACCCACGAAGTTAGCGTTATCCAACATAGACGCGTTCTCCATTGTGTTACAGTTCACACCAGGATTTGATGGAAATTCATCCATCACGAAGTGGACAGTGCAGGTTAATTAATCTATATCAATGCTTTCTTTAAAAAAAATCAAAGATTATTATTTTTATGATGCATATTTTTATATATGATACAATTTTTACACTAATGACAATTCTGTTGAAACAAAATTTATATCAAATATATCTGTTTGCTCTCTTTCTCGATATTTGAAAAGTATTACGTTAAAGTATTTTGTAAAATTTATTTTCAAGACACGAGATTCGATGTGATGGATAGAAGATAGAGAATAAATCAGAAGAAGTAATATGTGCATTACTATCAATTTCTTAGGCACAAACGGCGCGAAATTCGACGTGGTACACTATATACGAAGTATCCGATCCCGATGCCAGTACGATTACTGTTGATGGTTTGACTCCTTTCACGCAATACAAGCTTCGTTTGATCGCAAATAACGTCGTCGGTGCCTCAGAGCCCTCTGAGCCGACCAAAGAGTTTCAGACGATTCAGGCACCACCCTCGCATCCTCCGAAAAACGTTACAGTTCGCGCGATGAGTGCTACCGAATTACGCGTTAGATGGATCGTAAGTATCGTTGTTGGATCGTTATGTAAAAAATATAATTTTTCTATTAATCGTCATTACTAAGAATATCGATTAAAGATATTGTATGGTTATAATATAGATATGCTATGTAAATTACATATGTATAAGTTATACTGTTTTCTGCACAGCCATTGCAGCAAATAGAATGGTATGGAAATCCGCGAGGATACAATGTTACTTATACGGAAGTACGATCGAACATATCGAAGAGTAGTATTATCGAGGATCACACTGCAAATTCGTACATTTTGGAAAATATGGAGGAGTTTGCTGATTACGAAATAGTGATGCAAGCATTCAACGATGTTGGCTCTTCAGCGGCGAGTCCAAAGGCTATTGAACGAACTCGTGAATCAGGTGAATCTTTCAAACATAATTGAATATAATTAATCAAAAAGGAACCAACTCTAAAAAGCAATTTTTCGAATATAATTATTTTAGATTTTTGAAAGATATCAAAGTGTTTAATGTATATTTCTAAAAATTGATTCGATATTAATTATTTTATATTGTTGAAACGTTTGCGAAACAGATGACATAAGATCACTTTTAAATATTTTTTACACAATTTTATAAGCTTTACAAAGATATATAATGTAATATCTTTTAGTTCCTTCTCTGGGACCGGTAAATGTAGAAGCAAACGCAACTTCCTCTACGACTATTCTGGTGCGATGGGGTGACGTACCTGTGGAACATCAAAATGGACAGATCGAAGGCTTTAAAGTATACTACGGCGCGAATTCCAGATCAACTTTTCAGTACAAAAACATTCCCAGCAATACCACTTTCACAACCACTTTAACGGAACTTCGCAAGTTCGTCCAGTATCATGTGCAGGTTTTAGCCTATACAAGACTTGGTGATGGAGCGCTGAGCATTCCACCCGTGAGAGTCCAGACCTTCGAAGACAGTAAGTGTACTTATTGCAATTGAACCTTTTCTAATGACAACAATCGAGTTATGGATTTTAATCATATAATTGTTATATGTTATTTATATAAATCTATTGTTTTATATACATGTGAAATGTATATAAAACATATAATGCAAAGTTAAAAAAAAAATAATATTCCATGATATCGTTATAATATATTCTATTTTATTTCACAGCTCCTGGTCCACCATCTAATGTATCTTTCCCTGACGTGAGTTTAACCACAGCGCGCATTATTTGGGACACACCAGAGGATCCTAACGGGGAGATTCTTGCGTACAAAGTTATGTTTAACTTAAACAACAGCCAAGATTCTCATTTTTCTAGAGAATTTCCAGCGTCAGATAGAACGTTCAGGTACAAAGATTTTTTCCTATATTTATCCATCTCACTGAAATTCTATAAACTCAACATTTAAATAATAGATCTCCGTTCTAGATTAAGATGTATTAGGATTATATATAACAAATAAATAAGTTTTTGAATAAATATCGCTATAATTTTTCCAATTGCAGAGCCACCGAACTCAAGTCCGAAAAGTATTATATGTTCTCTGTAACGGCACAAACGAAATTGGGTTGGGGTAAAACAGCTTACGCGCTTGTATTTACCACGAATAATAGGGAACGTCCTCAAGCACCATCGGTACCGCAAGTGAGCAAGTCACAGATTCAGAGTCGTCAAATAACATTTAGCTGGACACCAGGCAGAGACGGTTTTGCACCATTAAGGTAAAAACATCTTTCTTGCTTATTAGGATTTCTATTAAACTGCATATTAATCCCTCTTTTTGCTCCGATAGATATTACACAGTGCAACAGTCAGAAAATTCTGGACCATTCCAAATTATTCCCGAAAGAGTGGAACCCACTCTGACGTCTTACACGGCTAACAATTTAAAGCCCTACACACACTATCAGTTTCGCATTCAGGCTACCAACGACATAGGTCCATCAGAGTGGAGCAGTGAGTCTGCTCAAGTACAAACTCTGCCTGCAGGTATATATTAAAGATAAAATAATATGAAACCCACAATATTAAAAAGGAAATATTTAAAAAAATCAAAAATTGAAAATTGAAATTAACATTAGCCAAAATATTACATTTTTATAGCGCCATCAAAGGGCGTCAACGGTCTGAAAGTTGTTCCGATAACAACATCCAGTGTTGAGGTTCATTGGAACATGATCGACGAGGTACATTGGAGTGGCGATTATGAAACTGGTGGTTATCGTGTTGTTTATCAGCCAGTATCGGATTTCCCGACACCTCTTCAGGCGACGCCGAAAGAAGAGATTCTAGGAATTAAAGTGCGTATAAATATCCTTTCTTTATATGCCAATTGAAATTTTATAATGTAATATATTGAGATTAATTGCAGTATTTTATAAATTTAGTATAGCTAACACAATTCATTCTTGTTGTAGCAAACCAAAATGGTCTTAAGCGACTTAACAGAAGATCGATATTACGAGATTGTAGTGCTACCATTTAATTCAGAAGGTGAGGGCCCACCGAGTCCACCAGTCACTGTGTACGTGGGAGAGGCAGTTCCTACGGGGGAACCCCAGCATCTAAAAGCCGAGCCCATTTCTTCTACCGAGGTCCATTTGCATTGGAAACCTCCTCAAGCTAATATGCAAAATGGTGATTTATTAGGATATAAGGTAATAAAATAATTTCGCTCAGTTACATTAGTAATAGATTACTTTATTTAATAATAGATTAATCGTTATAAGTTGATCTTTATTAATTTTATGTGTTTATTATAATAAAAATATTCTTGTTTTTATTGCAGATTTTTTATTTAGTGACTGATTCTCCTCAAGATTTAGAGAAAAAACAGGAAGAAGAGATAGAAGTCGTTCCAGCGTCTTGTTTGGCGCACAACTTAGTCTTTCTTGACAAGTATACAGAATATCGCATACAAGTTTTAGCGTTTAATCCGGCCGGAGATGGCCCACGATCTCCGCCAATTACTGTGAGAACGAAACAGGTAATTTTCTTAGATATATTATGTCGTAAATATATTCCATAATAATAGCAATGTTCAGTGTTGATATTTTTTTCGATAAAAACACATGTTTATAAACGGTATTTAAACTCTGGTATTCAACGTAATTGCAGGATATACCAGGACCACCATATCATTTACAATTTAACGAAATTACCATGACCAGCTTACGCGTTTCTTGGAACCCCCCGAAGTTACGCAATGGCGAGATAGTTGGTTACATCGTTACTTATGAAACTGCAGAGCAAAATGACCGTAAGATAAATCATGTATCTCTATAAAAAAAAATCATTTAACGTTAAGAATTTAACTTTACATTTTTTAGTTATTTTTTTATTAACTATTATTACTTTTTTAATTATATTATCGCCAGAACATTGCTTTAATTAATATATACTCAAATGTCTATTGTTTTTTATGACGAACATGTTAATTTTATTCCGACAAAAGTTCATACATATATTAAACTCTTTGCAAAGATTTAATTATGATATATTTCATATTTGTCTTTTTGCTAACTTGTCAATATTTTATCTAAGGTTTTAGTAAACAAGTTAAACAAAAAGTGACGGAGACGAGTCTTCTTATTCAACCGCTGGAAGAGGAAGTGACATATACCTTCATGGTTCGCGCGCAGACGATCGACTTCGGACCGCCGATATCCGGCAATGTTACAACTGGTCCGCAAGAAGGTTCGCCGATGGAGCCCAGCAATCTCGGTGTGACCAAGACAGTCTCCAGTGTGGAACTGCAATGGACCAATGGTGCTTCCGGCAAAGGTCCTATACTCGGTTATTACATCGAAACTCGTCGTAAAGGTAAATATATGTTCTTTACACGCAATCACCGTTTACATTTATTTCAAAGGAGTTTAAAAAATCTGTTACAATCTGTTTAAAATTTTTTAATATTTTACTGTTTATCGAAATTGCAATAGAAAATACAAAATGTAATGCGATTAATCTCTTTTATTATAACTAATTTATGAAATAAATTTTGATCGCGAGCATTTGTTGGAGTTTTGCAATTTCACAAAACAAAAATATACAAC